GGTCAAACTGATCTTCTCCATCCTTCTCCAACACCACATTCGAAGCTTTCCAGGTGTTTCTGATCTACTGCCCTAAGTGTCTAAGTTTCAGCCCCATACAAAGCAATGCTCCAAACGTAGGATTTCACTAGTTTCTTTCTCAAATTTAAGTCCAATTTGCTGGTAAAAAGATTCTTCTTCTTGCTAAATGCAACTTTTGCCATGGCAATCCTAGATTTAATTTCACATGTACACCTTCCATCATCTGTTAGCAAGCTACCCAAATATTTAAAACATTTCACATTTCCTTATACACAGAAAAATTTGTTGGTATTCTGTTGGCACTGGTGACAGATTGTGTGTGTGTGTGTGTGGAGTAGCCTGAAGGAATATTGAGAGCATTTCTTGAAGTCCCTTGTTCTTTCCAACAGCTCTTGCCATTTTTAAGTTCAATAGTAGTTTTTCCATATATTTTTTGTAATTATGACTCTGTATAGGCACATTCTCTTCTAAATTTCCTGTACACATTTTTCCCTTTTGTATTTAAGTCTGTAAAATAGAATCTATACACACAGTGATTTCTAGGAACATGCCTCTTTTCATTTGGCAAGAATCAACTGTATGTGTTTTCACTTCATCAGATTTTTGCTTGCACAAGAAAAAGTTGGAAACATATTTTGTCTAGTTACACTTACTTCTTAAAATGTCTTGACAATCAGTAAAATTAATGGTGTCATAAATACAGAGCAGCCCAAAAAATTATATACAAGCTTCAACATCAAAATATTTGCTTAAATAATTTCTTACTATATCTTCAGTTCAACTTTGAAAATATCTGTAAATAACCTCTCTTGAAGTGTGTTATAGAGGTTACCTGCAGACATTTTCAAAGTTGAACGAAAGATATACAAATAAATTATTTAAGCAGATTTTTTTGGACATTGAATTATGTACACATTTTTTGTGCACCTCTGTATATTCCTAAAAATGGATTTTATAACATCCAAATGATTTTTTAAACTTAATGTCAATTTTTTGCTACAGATCTTTATATCTTCTGATTGAAAAGCAACAGGACACATGGAAACGTGTAGTGAACATGGATAAACAGCTATATAATCCAGAGAGGCTGTTCCAAAACAGAGGTGCTCAGCTGTTGCAAGAAGAGAGAGAGAGACGGGCTGCACAAAAAGTGAGGATTAAGACTACTTACCAGTCATGATCCCCAAAGTTGGTTCTCGCAGACTTTGTTTTATGCTCGTAAGAATTTGCATGCATTGGTTACATATTTATTCTGATTGTATCTACAAGTAAGTGTGTGATATCACATGGATATAAAGACATGAAAGGAGATACCATAAATTAAATTACTTATGTTATATTTTAGCGTCCTGTTGCACTGATTTAAGTCCATGATTTATTTAATCCGTCTTGCAGTGCATACACTCATTTATCTCCTTCTCTCCCTCGCACTACATGTTTCGGCATAATAATGCCATCTTCAGGTGCTTACTTATCCACGTCAAACCAGTTCATTGCATGCCATGTTCACACATTAAAATAACTAAAATATGTATCTATCATATACATTGTCAAACGTTAAAAATATTAAAATTGTTCAGGATACCACATCGCTACGTCGCCCCTCACTACGTCAGTCACGCCCATTCTCCTTTGTTGGAGCACTCTTTCATTATCTTGTGTGTCTGTTACTTAGTTAAATGTAATTAACTAACTTAGGAATAGTTGAGGGGCTTTGTAAAATACATGCTTGCACAGATCCCCTTACAGACAATGAGCAGGATATGTATAACAAATATATCTAAGAGTTACTATAACTTATCAGATTATTATTATTGTCACTACAACCCTTTGTGTGTCTTGACCTGCTCTAGAAACTTTCTCCAGCTATCCCATTCTTAGAGTGGTCTGGCTGGCTGTTTCTGGAGCTTTCTTAACAAGTGATTTTTTATGGTGAATGGTTGTTAACCCTGTGCCCAATCCCCAGGAGTCCTGGAGGACGAATGTTTTCTGTTGGGTTATCTCCTCTAGCTGGCTTATCCCAGTTTTGGAACGTGAGGAACTCACTCTTTTACCCTTGCATGACTTTGTCTTACCCAGGAGTCACGACAAGGACATGCATGCATTGGACTGAGTAGGAATAAATTCAGTCATTCATTCATTTTATTTGGCATTCGTATTTGCTACAACAGTAACACTTGAACAAGTCACGTCATTAAATACGTCATTCTTGAAATCCTTTTGCCCAAATGCCTAAAGGATTAGAATTTGTCAACAATAAATAATGACAATCCTCAAGTCTTAAGATATTTAGAACTGATTAGTCACTGTATATTCGTGGTTTCTCTTGTGTGAGAACTCTATTGGCTCTGTACATATGTTTTGTATTTATATGACATACCGTATTTACACTTGTATAGGCCGCAGCACAATTTTCAGACAGAAATTATAGAAAAAATAATTTTCTTGGAATATTATTTCAGGAGTAGAACATCCTGTATTACTAATTATGAATATAATTTTTTTT